ATTTCATGTGGTTGATATGTTTTTATTGTCGGAATATACGTTTATGATTTTTAATGTCTAAACCGACCTACCAAACCCAACCCAACCCAATCGAAACTTGATTGGGTTGGGTTGGAACACATAAACGGGTTGGGTCGGGTTGGTTTGATTTTTTATCAAACCGACCATATTGGGTTGGGTAAAAAATTGACCCAACCCAACCCATGCCCACCGCCACCCCCACCCCTAATTGTGATACTGTTTAGGCTAGTGCTTGGAGATATCAAAGCATAGGTATCAAGTCATGGACAGTGTTTTATTTTTTCATTTTTTCTATGTTAATGTCATACAAAATACCATTCGAACAGAGTAGGTAAAGAGATATGTAAAAGCCGCCTTAAGAAATAATCAAGCATAGATTAGCATCGGATCTGTGCAAGGTTTATGGGCATAAGTTGAAAACCAATCCACAGCCCACTGATTCCAATACCATTTTGAGGAGGAAAAAGGTGTAATTTATCTTAGAGTTCAAGTCATTGTAGTGCCAAACAACACGTGCCTAAATTCCTAGTATATAGTATTCATTTCGTCGCCAAATGTAACATACAACTCCAAATAGGCTAACTCAGTTGTCAGTTAATGCTGATTGAAGAACAAGAGATAATTATCTTACTGAACTAAAATTTTCATTGAATTCTGAAATCTTATCCACTATTCATGTGGCCGGCTTGGGAATCCTGGGAGTCTTAGCTCCAGAAACTTCCTCACTTTTTGGCAATGGTGTTCTAATACTAAGGGTTTCCAATTTTTAAACTGAAAAGTGTCAAATATAAAATCTGCTCGGACACTGCGCGAAATTTTGGCGCTGTTAGAGTCAATTAACTCCAGGGAGGCCAAGTTCCTTTCTGTTTGCTTCCTGAAAGGAAAAAAGCTATAACAGTTACGATTTGTTGTTGAACAATTCTGCGATTATAAAGTACCCTCAAAAAATAGACAAGTCTTTTTACCAAGAATAAAACTTTAAAGGTCCTTGGAAGGGGAAAAATGTGGCTGATTTTGGGGTTATAACTCAATGCCTGGTGCCCACCAGAGGTAATGGTCAGTATCTGACTAATCTTCTGCTGAAGATCAACGTGAAGGTATGATGCTCGATGAAATTGTAATTTTTGTTCTGTATTATGCGGTTGTTGTAATAATTTAAGAATTTTATGAACTTGTATCTTCTATCCCTTGCATTCTTGTGTTTTGGCGGCTTGGAAACGAAAATTCTGTCTTAGCCATCAAACAAACTCCTATTATTCCAATGGTATCCAAAGTTGCAACTACAAGTCTTCGGATGGATGTGTCGCATGGCATCCCTGGCAAGTCTAATATACCATCCATTGCTGCAGTGAAGTGCTCCCAGTCTTGTGTCCTCTGATATATACTGCCTTTTTTCTACTTACTGCAACCTGCTTCTGTGTTTTCTTCTGAAATTGGTTGTCAGTTCGAGACAACGACCATCAATCTCTCATTATGGAGCTTGTGTTCACATTCAATCACCCAGGATAGATTCTCTTTATAAACGTGTGTAAGACACTGCATAATCAGTTGAGTTTTTCCCTCTTGGATTGGAATAATTGAAAGCAAAGCCATCTTCAACAGCCATTAGTTAAGTTCTGTGACCAAATTACTCAAACATATTGAACTAAATTAGATGATGATTCAAACAGCTGGGAACTTCAGCTAACCAGATTATCATATTCACGTAATTGGTTGTACTTCCAGATTGTAAATACAATGTCCTACCATGTATTTCATTGTACTTGGTATTCTAACATTTTTCCAGAGCCCTCCGAAACATATTGAACTAAATTAGTTGAATATAAAATATTTCCACAAGCCCAGACCAAAATGTATAAAATTAATAGATGGATCAAGAAATAATGGGTTCAGTAAAAATTCCCATAACAAATGGAATATGAAGAGAGAACTCAAGAAAGTCTCAACATCGTGAAATTTAAGAGAGCCACTATGAAGCCAGAAATGATGATTACCACCGAACTCATGGGAAGTGGGACTTTAAGAATTCTATTGAAGTACTCGTCCAAATTGCCCAGAATTAAAGCTTTCAATAAAGTTTGCATTGGAAATTTCGTAAGCGATGGAGTACCTGAATCGAAATAGAATCAGCCACTTCAATTTGAAACTGGGAATCTAATTTTCACAAAGATATAGAAAAGGAAAATCAAGTCAGCTGACTTTGGTTTGGCAAATGAGGAGATTGAAGGTGAAATCATAATTCGGGACATACTAATGGATGGCTCATGATTTGTTCAGTGTTGAAATTCTTCAGTTGGGTGTAAAAGAAGCTCATAATCGACCAATCTGAGTAAAATAAATTTTCAAATAATTTACTCCTCACTATAATCTGAGTCGCGATATGTTGTCTCCCACGTGTTCCTTTAGCTATCTTCCAATTAAAATATTACATTTCATCCCAAATTTATACATAACCAAATAAGGAAAAGTCAGTGTATAAGAACATTTTATCATCATACATATATCATCTTTTCCTTTCTATTTAATTCTTGATTTGAGTTTCACAGGGCATACACCATAAACTCCTTCTAACTAGCATACAATCTAATGTTTCTCTCTGAGAACAAGAGTTATCATTTAGAATTCAAGTAGGAAGTTGAAGATGTCACACCCTAAATGTAACGACCCAAATATTAGAATTTAAATCACTACCAAAAAGTTTCCTTAAAAATATTCAAAACATAAAATCAATTTTGTATAAAGTTATGTATTAGTGGTTTATTCCAGGTTATAAAAATTTCGAATTCTTTATTTTATTAGAAAAGACACCAGCCTTCTACTTATTTGATGAAAATTATAATTAATGCAAAATGAATTATCATCAATGTCTTCCTCAAATAAAACATAAAATCCTATTATGGCATAATTAAATAGGGTTGTGCTAAATGTACACCAAATCCATTACTTAATGGGTTACACCCCCTCACATGGAGGGGGCCCACGAATATTTTATTGTGTATGGACCCCTTTTCATGTGAAAGGGGTGTAATCCATTATGTAATGGATTGTGTACATTTAGACTAATCCAATTAAATAAATTAGACAAGCAAAATTAATTAATTGATCCAAGGGACATGCAATCTATATTCGATTTATAAATTTGGACCATTACTATTTGGGGGACAATATCATGCTCCAAGCAGTTAAAAATGTCATAGCTCAATAAAAAAATATATGCCAATGAATGTTAAGTCATGAACAGAAAAACATAGGTTCCAAACTTCTAAACAAATGAATAGATTCATATAATTATGAAATTAAAATTACTAGTAGGAATAAAATTTCAGCCACGTTATCTCAAATTTACTTTATTGAGTCCAAAGAATCCTGACACAACGATTGGCTACAGTCAGGGACCAAGAATCAAGGAATAAGAGTGATTAATTAGGGTCAATCATAATAATGTTAATTTCAGAATCAATGTTATTTCCTTTCAATAAAATAGGCAGGAATTATGCATATGTAATTTCATTTTTTTCTGAGAATAGGTTATTACCTATTTCAGCAAAGGATGTTTGGCTATTTAATAGCTTGAGGCCATGAATAAATATTATCCCATGATTATTATCTCCAACCTTGAGTTAATTAGGAGTTGTGGTTTTTTCTCGAATTAAACCAACCTAAGGAGGTCCAAGGGTCCCTCGAAGTATTTTCAAAATTATCATCATAGGTAGAAAACGCAAGAACGAACATTGTTCTCTACCAGTTAATAAGCCCTTTACTAGGTTGCAATCTAAGGCAAGTGACAACTTGGCACCATCTGTAAAGGTGTCTGTTGCAGACATGTCCAAGTCCAACAACCGCCTTGAACACATGGAAAGTGAGCTTGGCTCTTTGGCAGCTAGCCAAAGGGACCTTCAACAATCCATGCAAGCTACTTAAGAATGCCTTTTGAAGCATATGGAGAGCATGTTTGCTCGTTTCTCTATTCGCGGTGGAAGCTACGATGAAGATGCCAAGTCTTCTCGTCCCCCACCTAGTCGCGGTTCATCGGAAGGAGGCCATCACGCTCCAAAAATCACAAAACTGGACTTTCCATGCT